AAGTATACGTTCAGTGCTCACTTATGAAGGGTAGATAAGTCCCGAAAGGGACAATTTTAATTTGAAGGACGCTTGGCTCAGCAACAAGGAAATAGATAGTTGGTGAAAAATGGATGAACAGCAAAAATGATACTGACCCACACGCCTCAATTCGTCCATACGAAGTTTCCATGAAGGTTCTTATGGTAATTCAATATTATAGAAATGACTATTAACTTTTGCCCAAAAACAAAAAAGGAAATGACCATTAACTACTAAATTTCATGAATAATAAATCAATCGAATTTGTCAAATAGAACAGTCGCCAAGTTTGTAGCAGAATTTTTAACTCTTCAACCACAAATTAGTGTTACACATAACATGGTTACCAACAACAGCTTAATGCAAATTCAAATCTTTTTAAATAGAAGAGTCCCATGCAGTGTTTGATAATCATATCTTAGCTCCAATCTTGATTGCAAAATTAAAATGATAATGGATTGATGTGTTATTCCAGGGCAGTAAAGTCTGAGATCTATCATGAGACAACCAAATTCTCTTCAATAGACGAGGCATATATGTCTACCCAAAGACTCGCTAAAAGAGAGACCACAAAATCTTGAGCTTCAACTACAGATAAACAGGCATCAGAAAACCAGAAGAAAAACGCTAGCACTTTGCTCCAACAGTCCGTACTTTCACAGGTCTTGAACGCTCAAACCTGCAAATATTAGAGATTCCAATGGTCAAGATCACATAACGAACTAATTTCTGTTCAACTTCTTTCTTGGCATTAATTAGCAGCATCTTTGGGTTTAACCTGCAGCTAGACTTCTTCTATCGTAAGTTTTAAACATACAATACAACTGCCAGAAGAATTTTACCACAGTAAAACCCCAGAAAAGTAAAATTTCCGTTGATAAGAGACACCATTTCAATAATGCCATGGACTTAACTCCACAAAATCGAGCATATCATGAATATGATTAAGATGCACCAATCCACGCCCATCTCTACTTCAATTAAGACCAAAAAATAAATAAATAAATCCAAAACAGAAAATTTATCCAAGGCATATCAATGATGTAACAGTTTCAAGATTGAATATAGAGCATGAATCATGTCTCCTGACCTGAACAATCATATAACCACGATAAATATCACTAGTTCCTATGCCGCGTACAACAAGACATCACACAAAAACTGTTTCAGTCTGATAAGGAAGAATGTACACTTCATCCAAATAGTATTTCTATTTGTCAAAGCAATGACCATTTGCTATACGGAGATAGCTGACAGTATCAGAAGGAGAAAATAATAAAACATTACCCCAAACAGAAAATTGTCAATTACTAACCTGGAGGAAGAGATTGCTTCAATTTATCAGCCTTCTCTGGGTCAAACACACAGAGTGTGTAGAGGTACTTGGAACATCGAACCTTGAACTTAACAACATCTCTGCTCCGCTTGATTTTTACTGACCTTGCGTCTTTCCTTCGGGCAGTGAGAAGAAAGTCCTTGATTTCATGGATTTGCTTAGGCTGCATAGAGCAATGCAAAGATATTCACAGAAGAATTAATGTAATTAAAGCAAAACTGACATGATATATAGGCATTGACATTTGAGGAACTAAAACATGATGAACGACTGAATTATGCATCCCGAACTATTAGTGGTTATTGACTTATCCGAAGATATGGTATCACATTTCACCAAATCTAATAATTAATTAAAATTTAAAATCATTTATTAATTTAGCATAAACTCACACTTAAGCATAAATGACAGAAAAATTAAAAAACTTGATTTAGGCATGATTCAGTTTAATCTAGTCCACGCCAACGCCCTGCCCTGATTTTAACTACGATTAAGCTTCCACGCAGTTCATTCAAGCTATCAATTTTTTCACCAACATTAATTAGCAAAAGCTTGCATCTCAATTACAGAAATATCCCCTTCCAGAGGCTGTGTTTGGATGTATGATTCTCAAATTTCTGGAATTCAAGCACTCAGGAAATCTGCCTCCGGAAGTTAAAATTTATTCGTTTGGGAAATATTTCAAGAATGATCATGATAATACAATCAATGAAACATCGATAAGAAATTTGCGACAAAGTGATTATGCGGTAAACGTCCAACAAATTGCACAATACGATGAAATCTTGTTCCTACATCAGAAGTGTATAAATTAAGCTAACCATATTGACCCTTTCTATTACAAACTGAGACTGAAAAATGTACGCCACGAAAGCTGGTCAACAGAGCTAAGAAATGGAAGCTTCATCGGTTGCGATGAAAAGAAAGACGACATGTACAAACTATACAAAATCAATGGAGAAAGAGAGTGAGTACCATTGTGAAGAGCGTGACCGGAATGGCTCTGAGCTTCGGCACGACGGCACAGAAGGGGTTGAGGGGTGAAGAGGGGAATTAAAATTAAAACTACCTATAAACCCTAGCCGAGTACTTCCTTTTAACTGGGCTCAAAAGCCTGATGGGTCTGACCCTGGATGTGCATAGAAGGTCCATTTCAAAGGTATGCGTAAAAAGCACGAAACACGTGGCTATTTATTCAGAATTTAGAAAAGCTTTTTTTCTAAAAAAAAAAAAGATATTTAAAAGACGAAAATATTTTACCAAGAAAAATTTTGAAAAAAGGAATAAAAATCTATATTTTTTTTATATAAGCAACACAAAATGTGTATATTTAGATAACAGTACTTCAATTAAATATTAATACACTGAAGAATTATATATTTAGATGCGATTTACTTTTTTTTTTTCCATAGCTCACTTATTTAAGTAGATGTGATGTGGCACTGAGCCAACAAAACAAATTTAACACTTTTAATCTTTGTTAATGCCATGTAGGATGAGTTATAAAAGGCCACGAGAAATTAAAATGAAAATCACATGTATTATGGAACCATTCAATGGACTGTAGAGGGAGAAAGAGAGGGTCTGAGCTTTTTCATGATTTCTTCAAGTGAAATCCCTCACAAGCAACCTCTAGACTGCCCTTGTGACAAAAAGGATGAATATGAAAGGAGAAATAAGAGAGAACTAAGTATTCATGATAGGGGTATAGATAGAAATCCACTACTACAATCCCCAACAGAGTGATGAATAAGCTTCGAAAGCAAAAGATGATCACTGAAGGAAGTTACAAAAGACTTCGATGCTGTTCTCTGGAGAGGTCTCACTTCACCCGAGGGAGGAGGAATGGATGAATATGGATGAGGTAGGAAACTCCAAACAAAAGGAGCAAAAATTGTCCTATTGAGAAGTGCTAAAGCTAAACCCAACCAAGTGATATGATCAATCTAACCAGGGACGTGACAAGGAAGAGTGGGGTGAGAGTGTGTTAACCTATAATGAAGAAGAGATGAAGAATGGAGTGAAAATCATAGATACAAGTAGAGGGTCAATGATTGAGTTTTCTGAAGTTGAGAGGAGAGGGCTAGCAAAAAAAAAAAAAAGAGAAAACATTGATCATTAAGCTCTTGGGTGGAACCCTAGGATTCATGCAAATAAGGCGAAAGGTACAACAACTCGAGGGGAAGATTAGGCAATGTGGAGTTGAACGATATTGGTAATTGGTATATGTATGTAACCTTTAAGGAGAGTGATGATTAATACTTTGCTGTCAAGGGAGGTTCATGGATTATTCAGAGTCACTATTTGAGTGTGCAAATTTTGGAAAAAAAACTTCAACCCCTAGGTAGAAAAAATCCATAAACATGCAATATGAGTTATATTGTTAGGACTTTTGAGAGACTATTATGATAAGAAATTCTTCTACAACTTAGGGAACAAGATTGGTAGGAAGTGTCTAGAGGTTGATTTGAATGCTCCTCTTTTTGCCTTCGTATATGGCTATCGGGAATGCTTTACTGTCAGTGGCAGTTTGACCCAAGAGGGGGTGAATTAGGTGAGTTATAAAATTTTTATCATAATGAAACAATGATGTAAATAAAACAGAGAAGGTTGAGTTAGAAGATTTCATCGTAGAGTGAAGACACAAGATTTATACTGATTCGGTCTCAACTACTTGACTTACGTCCAATCCTCAGAACACCTCTGAGATTTCCACTATGATCCCAAGATTAAACGGGCTCTTGGCACCTCAGTACAGTAATTGATTTTCTCAATCACTCCCCTTTACTACCCGTAAGTTTACAATCCCTCTCCAGAGTTCACACTCTTGAGTTACGCTCAAAAAATAAGTAAAGAGATATATCAAACTCTCTCACAAAGTAAATGAATAATAAACACTGACGCTCATTGAAAGAAACGGAGTATTGAATGCAACAGTAAGTATTTCAGCAAATGGTAGCTCGCGTATTCAATTCTTCATTCAATGCTCTTCGCGCCTTTTATAGTTGGAGAAGTTCAATTAACCATTGGACAAAGGAGCTTCTAGCCGTTGAAAATCAGTTGCGTGTGTTCGGCAGTTATAACGGCAGTTCACCATTAATGTTTCTAACGCGGTAGGTTACAGGTTACTAAATAACGGTTGAGCTTGCTTTGTAATCTGTAACCATACTTAAAACAAGTAAGTTCTCTTTCAAAAGGAAACTTGTAAAAGTAACTGAACAAATAATGATTATTCATACTCATATACCAATTAGAAAAGCAATGAATCAATCATCAGGTACTTTAAATATAAACTGAACATACTTGATCGATGTCTTGATCGATAAGTAGTTTATCGATCAAGTTATTAATTAATTACAGAGAAAACTTTAGTCACACACATATATATATTTATCGATAAGCTTATGGATCAACAGATAATTGAATAAGTGATCGATAAAAGACGAGAAATGAATACAGTGACTTCAGAGAAAAGTTTGCAAGAATAAAACTTTTAAATTCATTTATGCCTTTGAATCCTTTCAATAGAGAATTATGTGTGAAAAGAAGGCTGAAAAAAACTTAAAGATAAAAAGATAAAAGATTTTGAAATCATCGTAAAAAGCTTGTTATGAAATGAACTGGTACAATGATCGAAGAAGTGATCAAAATCTGTTTGATCGATCATATTATCGATAAAGCTAAGTATGAGGGAAATAGTTTTTCTAATACCATTGACCGAATACTTTATCGATAAATGAATGATAGGAAAACTGATCGATAAAAGGCTTAAAGTAGATTTTCTCAGATAAGTTACAAAATATTCGATGATTGAGTAAATGATCGATCAAAGACTAATTGATTAAGTGATCGATAAAATATCGTTGAAGAACTTAGGTCAAACAGGTCAGGAAAAAGCTTAATCGATCACGTTATGTGAAAACAGGAGTTTTAGAAGTTTGGATGATCGATCAAGTTATCAATAACTTAATGATTGATCAAGTGATCCAACTTTGATTGCTAAACAGTGTTAATCTTGATTGATAAATTGATCGATCAACTTGCAAATTTTAATTTATCTAGCAAGTTATTGATCAATCTTACTGTTAGGTTACTTTTATACAAAGACATTTTATTCATCACCAAATTGATTAACCTTTGATTGATCAGATGATCGATCAACTTACTAAACCAGATCTTACTTAAATTGTTATCATCAAAACCTTAAATCTAACATCTATGTCATATCTTGTTAATTTTAACTTGGTAAATAAGGAGTTTAGAACCAATTAAGGGCCAAACAATGTAGTAGAGACAGAGACGGAACAACTTTTGAAGTGAAACTTGGGCAGAGACTGGACTATCATTTTGAAAAATTTTGGTTAAGCAATGGTAATGTTGGGAACTATGCCTGAAATTTCTAAAAATTCTCAAAAATTCATAAAAAATAGAAAAAAGTTTCTAGAATGGTATTTGAGGCCCAAAAAGTAAAAACAGGACAAAATAATTTATTATAAAATTTTCTATAATTATTGATATTTTTGGCTAATTAGGTGAATATTAGTCAAAGTGAATTATTTTAAATATACAGAGCTCTCAATTATTTAGAAAAATAAAGAAAAGTTAATTGAGAGTTTATAACAGATTGTAAAATTATTCTCGACCTTTGGAAGTACAGAGGTTAGTTTTAAAAATATTTAAAGCTAAATTATATCAGTAAAAGATTGATTTTGGAAAAATTTAAATAGAAGGAGTCACCGGCTGAATTTTGACCTGAAAAAAAATTGGAAAACTTCTAATCACTAAAATGAAGTTATTGGCACAAAGAAATGAATTTTCAAAGCTATTGGATTGGACAGGATCCAAAAAAAATTTAACTAATATAGTGAAAGTATACAATGTGTAATGTCCCAAATTTTAGATCTAGAGGTATAAGAAATAGCCTAAAATAAGTAGGCTACTGAACCCCAATTGACAAGAGTCCTAGAAGTTTCTTGAAATGATAGAAGGATTTTCAGGAACCAACTAACAAAGAGTGCTTTCTAGGACCAAGGAACAAGTAAGTTCAAGGCTATAAAGATGCCTCAAAGGCTGAGTAAGAGGAAAGAGAATGAACATGGGCCAACCATCATGCTAGAAACCTTAAAGGGATAATTCTTGAGGCTAGACCCTAGCAGGGACCTAGTTGTAATTTTGAAAGGTTTTGGGCTAGAAAGGGTAACGATGAAAAGTACGCCCAAAAATTTCAGAGAAATTTCAAAAATTCTCAAAAAATGGGAAATGAAATCCTGAGGCCTATATGAGGTTAAAAATAACAAAAATACATCTAGAGCAAATTATGAAATTTTTAGGGTCTTGGCTAGTTATGGGTTATTAGTGGAAATTGAATTATTTAAAATATCGAGAGGCTTTAGAGGATTGGAAAAAATGAGGGATAAATAGTTGAGTAATTATTGCAGGTTTTAAAAATGATTTTTTCCTTGTAATAAGTAGAGGTTGGCCTTAACAGAATTTAAAGCCTATTTATACCATATCCGGGAAAAGTCAAAATAAACTATTTATAGATCAAACTTTAACTTGAGGAAAATCAGAGAAATTTCCCATGATAAAAAGGAGTTATTTGGTACATAGAGACAGATTTTCAGAATCATGGACTGATAAAAAAATTCAATTAAGTTTACTCCAAAATAAATATTATTAAATGTTTAATGGAGAGAGAAAGAGAAAAGCATATCTCTCCCTGTGTACATGCATATATAATGCCATGTGAAGTTATTTGTGATGAAAAAAGGGTGCCAAAACATGTTCTAGAGTTATTGGGTAAGTCAGGACCCAAAAAAAAGTACCTAATATGGAGTGAAATTGTAAAATAATGGAGGAATAGTCAAGGGTGAGAGGAAACACGAATTTCTACATATTTTCTCCCTATTTTAATATTAATTTAAAGAGTGGGCATGGAAAGACTTATACAATTTGTCTTAGGGTATAATAGGAAGAGGTTAGATTATAATAAAATATTGTTTTATGATCGCATGTGCATTAGGTAACATGTGGCAAGAGATCAAGTAACATGGTAAGGAATTTGAACGCATGGCTAGA